AGTTACAAAAATCTAGTTATTCAAATTTCCTAAATTACCATCTCTTTTTTTCATGTTATGAAAGCTTACCCCTCTTAATACTAATTTGGGTCCCGACAAAAATTCAAATCATGCACCCCCGGGAGTCAGGTGGGGCGGCCACATCCCTTCAGTGCTCTCTCTACCATGGTGAGGTAGGAGTTATGGTTATTTTTCAACTCGTAATTTTAGGAACTGTAAATAAACAGAATTTGATATATTTTTTTTTTTTATTCAGTTCCATGCAAACACAATCTGACATACAGAATGTGCAAAAAATAATACAGGTATCCACTGTTTAACGATCCATTCACTTAGTGATAAGTCGGTTTAGCGATTTAAAATTTCTAACACCCTTAGTTATTTAATGATCTGCAATTATTCGGTTTAGTGATCTTCAACTCACGGAAAAATTTTTAATTGCCTCATGTAAGTATAAAAAAAAAAATTCAATTTTTCTATTTACCTAATCACTTGGAAAGGGAGCTGCAAAATAAGATACAGGTGCTCCTCTACTTATGAACTTGGTACGTTCCTGAGGCTTGTTTGTAAGTCCAACTTTACTCTTGTAGATACCAAACATATTGTAAAAAATTAAAAGATTATGGATATTTAGTGCAGCTATACCCTTTAATACAGCCTTAAAACCTGGCTCACTCTTCTCCTCTTAGGTAATGTTTGTTCTATCTGGAATTTTCTTCAAAATAATCCAGTCTCATCCACATTAAACACCTGTTCTGGCAGGTAACCCCACTCAGTGATGATGTTTGTATCTCTGAAAGTTTGTAAGTTGAATGTTCTTAAGTAAAGGAGCACCTGTATTACCTATGAATCAGCCAACCTGAATTTTAGAAATGATTTTAAAAATCATTATCTAGCTTTTCCAGCAAAAAAACAGAAATCAATTTTTTGGTAACCAGAGGGGGTACATATCTAGGTTTATTATATAGAAATCACGAACTGTATTGTTGGGGTATGCTACCGGCATGCCACATTACAATTTGCGCTTTACTATACAGGTGTATTGCTCTGTATAAAATATCGATCGCTGTGCATTGTTCCTCTTGCTGTGCATCACCATTATTGTTGCGACTTTGTCGTGTTATTGAGTACGGTCTTTCCTCGACTTACGACAACTCGGACATAAGACGGTCCTGTCTCCTCCTCTGCTTCATCCAATTAATGTAGTCTCCATGCTTAATTAAAGGTAAGTGCACAGTAACACTTTATTCATTTTTCATTAATGATTATTTTTACTGTACAGTATTTCATTTTAGAATTTCTATGTATTATTTTCGCCTTTTCGACTTATGACATGGTTGTCGGGATGGAACCCCGTCGTAAGTCGAGGAAAGACTGTACTGTACGGACTGTTCATTACCCTGTACTATTGTGATATTGGGTACTAAAGTGATTGCTCCTCCCTCCCCCTCCGCTCTTGTCGGCTAACAGGCGGACCAGGTAAGAACTGTCAACTGTATTCCCTTTATGTTTTTGACCTTTTGATAATTATCAATTTTTCATTTTGTATGCACATTCTGCATGAATGAATGTGTGTGCATGTAACAGAGAACAAGAAAATTAACAAAATATATATTTACCCAAAATTACGAGCTGAAGAATAACAGATCTCATAGATCAGCCTCACCCGCTCTGAGTGTTACTGGGTGGCAAGTCGGCCAGGCAACTTGCTACACAATTACATAACATCTCCACAGATATTATTCCTTGTTATCCCTTGTTTAAGATATTATTTCTTGTGTCTGTTTGCTCAGCAATCAAATCACTTAGCGATCTGTTTTTCAGGAATGTATCCCGATCGCTAAACAACGCAACCCTGTATAGCAAACAATTATCATAAGATCAAAAACATAAAGGGATTAATCATTCCTTCATGTGCCAGCAAGCATTAGCAGGATGAACTGGGGGAGCTATAGGTTATTATTCAACTCATAATTTCGGTAGATAAACTTAACTGTCTTCACTTTTTTTTTTACTCAGTTACATGCACACACAATCTTACATATGCGACGTGCAAAAAAAAAAGGTAAAAGAAATAACTGTCTTAAGGTCAAAAACATAAAGGGAATTAAATTTCTTTGTCCCCAGCCGAGCTGGGTTGCTGTGGTGTCGCTTGAGGGCGGCCACGCTTGACGCAGCCAGTGCCTATGCAAATGGCGACTGTGTTAAACTTTGATTTCACTTTACCTTAATGGTTTTAGCTACATATTTTTATCTAAATATTGTTTGATTAATGTTTTTCATGTGTTAGGTAGTAAATTACCGTAGTTATGTGCTATTAATCATTAGTTATGTAGGTTTTCTGTTTGTGAACTGATTTCTTGTTTTTAAGGTGTGATATTGGATTTTTCTTGCCATTGGGGAACTGAACCATATTTTTCCCATAAGCTCTTTTACAGTATTCACTATAAGAAAGTTCACTTAACAAATTGTTTTTCAGGAACCTAACTCATTTGTATAGTGAGGGATACCTGTATGACATCACTATTTGTCTTCTACAGGTACTTTCTACATTAAGTGGTAAATTTTGCTACTACAAATCCCTTTGGGCAACTGGTTATAATCGATAGACATACTGTACATATTTAATGATTTTAATTACTCTCAGATGCTAATGTCGAGGATTTACCTACGAGTCTAGCCACAGATTTAGTGGATGAGACTGATATCTCCGTTAGCCGGAACAATTGGTGCAGAGCACTTCCGGGAATGAGAGATTTCCTGGTAACGTAGCGACTCTCAAAGCTGGAAAAATCCCTTATCCCAGGAATTTTCTGGGTAATGGTAAAATGTTCTCGGAAGTTCCAGAAATTGCCCATTACATCATCTCTTGAACCTGGATAAATATGCCCCATCCCCGGAACTTTCCGGGTAACAGAAAAATATTCTCGGAAGTTCCAGAAATGGCCCATTATATCATCTCGTGAACCCGGAAAAAACATCCCCTATCTCCGTAATTTTCTGGGTACAGTAGAGTCGGGATATAGCGACTTTATATAACGATTTTTTTATATCGCGGTTACCAAAATTATCGACATTTTCCTGTATATAGCAATAATTTTTTTATTTGGCGAGGGAAATCAGGCAAGAAATATTTCAAATTTATCACTACTACCAAAATTATCGACATTTTCCCATATATAGCGATAAATTTATTTACAGTAGACTCACAACTTACGTGGGGTTATGTTCCTGGGAACTCACATAAAGCCAAAAACAGTATAAAGTCAGAAACACTCATAAAAATCCCCTAAATCGCCCCCAAAATACGAGTTGATTTTTTTCTCTTGTGCAATATATATGATGACTATACAGTATTCAAATTATCTGTCTTGCAAGGATTCCAGCAATGCAATTTATATTATGCTAACCAAAGTCTGTGACATTTTATAAGATATAAACTTTAAGCCTAAAACCACTTTAAATCTTGAGGGAAGTGGAGGGTGATGTATTATGATAGCTGGCGGCAACCCCCGGCCAAGGTTACCTAATGGTATTTATTTATCTGTCAAATAGGGGGAGTTTACGATTTTCACTTATAAAATGTCAATGAATTGACTGAAGAGAATATAATTAACATTGCTGGAATTCTTGTAAGATAGAGATTAATTTTAATGTAAACATGCTATAGCTCACAATAGACATAAAAATTTTATTACTGATTAGTACATTTTAGTACAAATGTCTAAAATTTTTATCTCTTGTACAAAATATATGATGTATATATATTCAAATTATTCGCTGTCTTGCAAGAATTCCAGCAATGCAATTTATATTCTGCTAACTTTAGACTGTGCCATTTTATGTCAAATTTAGCCACTTTTATTGGCCTCCAGAACCCAACCCTATTTTCCCTATTGATTACATGTAATTATATATAGCGATTTAGTGTATAGCAAACATCCTTGGACCCTATTTTGCGATATATCCCGACCCTACTGTACCGGAAAAATTTTCTTGGAATTTCTAGAAAATGTGGCTGATATTTATCTTTCAAACCAGGAAAAACTCCCACCTCACCGGAATTTTTCAGAATTTTCCGGAAAAACATTCCCAAAGCCGGAATTTTCCAGAAAATTCCGGCTTTCGTAAAGTCTATCCTAGAAAATTTCAATTCCGGCTATCGGTGAGTTCCAGGTTTGATGGATTCTGGCTAACGGAGATATTACTGTAGTGTACTCCAACCACATAGCAGAGGGTGTTATGCCTCATACTTCATTTTCCTCTGCTCCTTTTTTTTGCTTGCGAGGAATCTTATTCCTTACATTCCTCCAAGAGTTTCTTTTCTAGATGAATGTCTCTTTTTCCTCTAAAACAAAATCATATTTGTCTCATACTTTCTCTGCCAAAGATTAACATATCTTTTTCATCTGTTTAGGGTAAAGGTCAGGACTTGCTGCAGGTTGAACCAGACTAAAAATTTTGGTTTGCATTTGCTTAGGGATGAATGAGGTGAGTCCATTCTCTAGAGACTATTCTCAAACTACCGGTATATAAAATATACCAGGTACTGTAGTTTCTAAAGGTCAAATGAGGACTCATAATAAAATTCATCGCAGGTGCATTCTGTCTCATCTTCTCAAGGTCCTTCATGAATATGTCTCAACAAAAGAATATGATAATTTCAGACCTGTTCAAGTTAAGCAGACATCTTCCATTGTTTTGATTCAAGACGAATTCCCCCCAGTCAGTAGACTAGACCCTTCATCAATGGAAGTACATATATACACAATGTTCAGTGAATGGAAGGATGCATTTAGGGACGGCTTCAACAGCCAGGGTATCCATTGCTTTGTGTATCTTGACCATCTCCTGATTATGGTCTCAGGCTGTTTGAGTGTTGAATAAAGTTACCAACACAATAACTATTTCAGATTGAATATTGACATACAGAAAATCCCATACCATGATCTTAAGTAGTTTTAAAATGAGACCTGTGACAAGGAAAAACAATTACGATATTAACTTTGTACTCTTATTTTATCTTTTATCCGTCTTGCCAGATACCTATCTAGTGTCCAAAGGACATATCCATGTAAACAGAGATGAAAATTTCTTAAAATTCACCACTGACTTCTTGACTCCTTAATCATTAAATTAATTATCCAAGCCATGGATAATTAGATCTTATAGTTTTATGAATGATGACCCAAGTGCACACACACAAATTATCACAAATATTCACCAAAGTTCTATTCAAATTTGCAACAAAGATCTTGATTTTAAACCCTGAAGTATTCTACTTAAAAGATATTATTAAAATTAACCTATATAAAGTAAACTCATCCTGCAGTAAGTAAAGTGTTACATATTCTACAGATGTAAATTATTACAAAACCTTCTCAACAAATGGGTATTGACAACAAATTCTCATATTAAATGCAATAATTGAATAAAATAATGCCAGAAGGTTAATAACCTAACCTAGCTCAGACCAAAAGGCATTCATCAAAAACCTACTGTTCTTGAGGGAAAGTACAACTGGTTCTGCTTTTCTAACTCACTCTAATTTCCTTCATCAAATTTTCCAATTATTCGAGGACTAATATTATGTAATGGCAAATCTTACTTTAACAAACTTGTCAAACATGCTACCCATGTTTGTGGCAAATGTTTACCCTGTTCCTTTAATGAGCTCATACAGTTGATTCTTGAAATTAAGTGAGTCAGGACTTGTGTAAAATTCACATTCATTCTTTGGAATCTGTACTTTACTGTACTGCACTGGGTAAGTATAAAAAAATTTGAAGCTGGATTATGGGATATATTTTGCAGTTATTTATACTACATACCGTATCCCTTATATGCTTCTATGGTACAAACATTTGTATTGAGAGGAGAAATATCATCAATGATTTATTTCTTAACTTAAGGCTTCCACAGTTTTAGTAGACCCTCTTCACTGTATGTAGCCAGTAGATTCTGGTGCGGGTGGTGGGTCATCCCAATCACAGACTGCTCGTGAACCTAAAATAAAATACCAGATACTATAAAGTTTCCAGAAATTATAGTGTTTTTTCTGTGCATATTGCTATTACCTATTCAAAAATGAATCTAGTTTCCATATTTAAAAGCAATTATTCTCACTGTCCACTATATCAGCATACAGTACACACAAATATAATTAGGACATAACCTAACCGTACCTCATTCCATCTTATATACTACAAGTCAGAAATTCAGTCTAACTCAGTCTATCTTTAAACTGTCCTCAAATATACCTTCATAATGATCTTCCCAACCTGCTGTACTCACTCAGTTACAGTAGAACATCGAATTAAAGCGATTCAATTTAAGATTATTGATTTAAAGTGACACCCACAATTCAGGACAATGTTTTAATTTAAAGCGAATCTTTCCTATTTTGCGCGAGTCAATCTGGCGCATCATATTTAAAATTTTGCACCTAATGTTTCTCTCGGCACGCTACACTGTCCTAAGGGCAAAGCTATACTGTACATGTACTCAAAATAATGTACTAAATGATTACTAAAATTTTTGTCAAGTGCAAACTATAGCATGTTTATATTCAAATTAATCTCTATCTTATAAGAATTCCAGCAATGTTAATTATGTTCTCCCCGGTCACTTCTGTGACATTTTATAAGCAAAAAACATAAACTCAAGCTAAAGGACATAAATAAACAAATAAATACTTCAATAGACCTTTGGCACCAACTGTCAAGCATGTCACTGTCACTTCACTTCCCTCCCCTCCCTCCCCCCATCTTCCCAGCCAGGGTTTGGTGTTTTAGGCTTAAAGTTTTTATCTTATATAATGTCACAGAATAAAGTTAGAATATAATATGTATTGCTGGAAACCTTGCAAGACAGCAAATAATTTGAAAATAAACGTCATATATTTTGCACAAGATATAAAAATTTTTGCTCTTTGTATGTCTAATGCAACCTACAGCATGTTTATATTCAAATTAATCACTATCTTATAAGAATTCCAGCAATGTTAATTATTTTCTCCCATGTCAAGTCAGTGACATTTTATAAAAGAAAAACTTAGTCACTCTTAAGGACAGATAAATAAATAAGCACTAGACCTTGGCATCAACTGTCAAACATATCACCTCACCTCCCTACCTTCCCCCCATCTTCCCAGCCAGTAAACAGACCATTTTGCAACCTATCTCGTGTTATATCAACGACTTCTACTGTACATGTATTTTTTCCAACAAAGAAAGCTTCATACACTTTCATTTAGTTCTAAAACTTTTTTGAACATTCGCTTTGTAAATAATTTTTATGCTCTGTTCTGTGATAAACAACACATACAATTAATGCTTACATTGAGTGTTCTCTCCAGTTTGCCTGTGGAGGTGGAGAAGCAGTATAACACGTGATCCTCACCAACACAGAAGATCCACTCCCCTCTGGGTGACACTACACAAGCCACAAAGTCACCACCTTCTCTTTTACCCGAAGATAGAGACCGTACGGTTTGACCCTAAGAGAGGATATTATAATTAATTTTTATACTCAGTGCACATAGGATCTGTTCAATTACAATGTTGAACTGTAATCAACACAATTTACTTTTATTTCAATTGCAGAAAACAAATGCTAGTCTACTACAATTTAAAAACTCACCTGCATGTTCATAATAGTTACAGTATTGGAGCGATTGCACACCACAATATGATCAGGATTCTTGGGGAGAATGTGGACTGAATACACAGGAAGATCTACAGAAGTCACACCAGCTAGTGATTTGAATGTAGCAATGCACTCCGTTGTCTTGACTGACCACACCTTCACAGTTCCATCAGAAGACGCACTAATGAAAAACGTGTTGTTTATTCCTCAAGTGTGTCCAGCACACCAAAGACACTAAAGATCTCAGTACTTAACATAATAATATCATCAACACTCATATTCACACCTTCCAGAAAGTTTTAGCTCTCATTCAGTTCCTTCAAAGAAATTTCCTAGCGATGTTCTAAAGACTTCACTGATTCTGTTAAAATAGGGGTACTGTATGTCTGTATGTTAAACTTTACATAAAAGATACTTAAAACACACCCCTAACAGAATCAGAAGAACATCACCAAGAAATGTAATAGTTGAAAATGAATGCACACACATACTTGGTATCTGCCCACCATGCTGTAAGCATGCTCCATTAAAGCACTCTCTCTCTCTCTCTCTCTCTGGGTAAGCTGCCAGAGTCACTTGTTGACTCCCTCCTCCTCCCTCCCCTCATCCACTTCCCCCCAGGATTTACCAGCAAAGTCCACCAAGGAAACAGTGCAAGTTTGATGATCAACTCATGACTGATATGAAAGTGACAATTTCATTTTGAAAAGGAATGGACATGGTGCTGAAATAGTGGTCAGTTGGGAGCACTCTATATTCTATATTATTGCGGTCAGTGTTTAATATGTTTACGACACACCGGAGAGGAAGTACAGTGTCAACCTTTTGGGACCGTCCACACTACCATGGCTGGCACTACAACCATATGGGTTATCCCTACAATAACACCAGTTCTATAAACACATGAGATCCTCTACAACACCACTGGAGAGGGAAGTACTACAACCACATGGGATCCTCTACACCACCACTGGAGAGAGAAGTACTGTACTACAACCACATGAGATCCTCTACAACACCACTGGAGAGGGAAGTACTGTACTACAACCACATGAGATCCTCTACAACACCACTGGAGAGGGAAGTACAGTACTACAACCACATGAGATCCTCTACAACACCACTGGAGAGAGAAGTACTGTACTACAACCACATGAGATCCTCTACAACACCACTGGAGAGAGAAGTACTGTACTACAACCACATGAGATCCTCTACACCACCACTGGAGAGGGAAGTACAGTACTACAACCACATGAGATCCTCTACAACACCAAATTATCAGTGATTCATAGATAAATTGGGTGTTACTCCATGTCTATTTTTTTTGTATTGAAAACCTCTGTTAAACAATCCACTCCCAATGTCACTATACAGTACATAATACTCAGTTTTCTCCATTGTAATTTTCAAATTCTGGCTGCTGTAATTTTCCATGGCTATTTATAATAAGTTTTTATTATTATTACACATGCGCACACACACAACAGAGATTCTACCTTCATTTAGAATCATTTGAGAATATCCTGAGTAGCTTATCCAATGTGTAAATAAAAATTTAAATTACAGTATACATGATGGTACTTTATTAAAACTATTAATTAGTAACTTACCTGATAATGTTATGGCCATCTTGAGTGAAGGTAGCTTGGTTCACAAATGATGAGTGACCACGGAACTCTTTCAATGTCTTGCCAGATTTCAGCCCATGTATTCTAAAAAGAAGAGAAACTTTGATACATTGGTACAACATTACAGTAGAACCTCGATAAATTGGACTAATTGGGGAAGACCCCAGTCCGAAAAATGCTTAAGTCCGAGAAAAGTGAATAGTATAGGGGACAGGGGGAGAGTTGGAGATAACACTGCTTATCTGAACTGTTTAAAGAAAATCAATTGTTATGTTATTACTGCACTTCAACAACTAAGGTCTTTAAGTGTATAACAAGGTTATTAAAAGAATATTACATCAACAATAAAAAAAAAATGAAATAGAACTCTGGGTTGAAAATCAGACATGTAAGTCTGGTTGTCACCGAGATGATTGTTATTTATTGTTAAGTGTTATATGTAAGTAAACAAAGAATATGTCTTATGAATAAAGAGAAAACTGTATACTGTACAGTGATCCCTCGGTTAACGAAATTTCGGTTTACGAATTACCTTCCATACGATTCTTCACTTCGGTTAACGAGCAAACCCTCGGTTAACAGATTCCTTACAAATTTTTCCCAACATGTTTTCGCCTGCATTTGGCTGCCCACCAGCTGTAGTATTAGTCCGCTAATACAGTAATCGGTTTTAGGGCTTAAATTCCTTACCATTTTAGTAAATATCAAGAAGGTTGTACTATTCAATAATTTTAAAAGTTTTATATTAAAATTTTTAGTCATTTTAACAATTATTGAACATAATTGAAGTACAGGAAGGTAGTTTTTTGCACGCCAAACAGCCACTCAACACACCAAGCTTGGTGTCAGTTTGTTTACCAGTTCAGAGGAAGGAATATCTTGTTTGAGACTCTTCAACATAAATGCTTTTTTTCTGTGTTTCCAGTCAAATTATTGGTCATTTTGAAATATTTTTACATATTGATAATATATAGCGCAGTGCAGTGTTGATTTAAAGAAAATAATCTTGAATTACACCAAGTGAACTAAAATTTTATGGGTGAAATGGCAGCATGGGGTGACTTCTCTTCCACCCCAATGCCTTCTCTTCTCCCTTCTCCTCCACCCCCTTTCTAATTCCCATCATCATCATCATCAACCAGGAGCCTTCTACATGCACACCTCAAAGTAAGTGTACTTTATTGCATTTATTTTTAGTTTGTTTGTAATTTTCGGTGAGCTGGAACCAATTACCCAAAAACCCATTGAAACAATGGTTTCGGTTAACAAATTTTTTGGTTAACGAGCAACCTTCTGGAACGACATGTGCTCATTAACCGAGGGACCACTGTACAGTACAGTCTACGACAAACAAGTTTAACTGACATGAACAAATAAATTCAAATAACATTATCAGACATTATGATGTTATACCTTCCTGTACAGTATATAAGTCTAAAGTTATACCTTCACCTTCAATACATACAGTATTACGGGTAACCAAGCCAAAATTAATAAGACAATTAGTGGTACGTATAAAAGACCATACAAAATCTGTGCTAGTTGGATCAAGAAGATGGTGGATAAGCAAGGGAGTTTAGTCATAATCCTTTTTATGCCTCTCTGATAAAGACCATCTTAGAGGTAACATCAAGTCAATAACACAGTTCACTTCATTTACTATCCTCACTCTCAACGTCAAGATTAAATTCTGTATAACAATGTCTTCTGTAGCAGATAACTAGTAAAACGTATACTGTACCGGTATACTAAATTCATACACATGATCAACTTTCTTCTCATTTTTTATTCTTTGCACATCAATCATCACCACCATCATCATACCTTTATCAGACTTTCACTATCCCATTCTTTTAGCATCAACACTCCATTATTCAACTACTACATATACAGTAATGCTTTTCCAGGTTTCAAAATCTTACTATTAATGGCATAACCTACTGGCTGTTACAGTACATGCATAATGATATATTCTTACAAGTTTAATTATTAAGTTTGCTTTATATAAATCCTTATACAGTACCTACCTAAGAGTGTTGTCAAAGGATGTGGACATTACTTGACTGTTGTCTTTGTTAAATGCAAGAGACGTTACACCTTCAGAATGTGCTCGTTCTACTTTTCGCAAACACTGGCCAGTGTTCACTCTCCAGACCTGTAATATCAACAGAGTTAATGATTAGCCATATTCATTCCCTCAAATAGTACAGTATTTTCTCGATTTAACTAACTAATTTGAACCATTTCTGTTCATTAAACTTAAATTTCCGCTAAATCGAGCTTTACGTTATGTTCACTCGATTTACTGAACATAACCCCACGTAAGTTGTGAGTCGACTGTAAATAAATTTATCGCTATATCTATATACAGTAAAACCTCGATTAACCGACCACATATGGGGGTAAGGGGCCGACGGATAATCCAAAAGGTCGGTTTATAGTACATAAAGTCTACGGAAATAACACATACATTTTCAAAGTACCTTTCCCTAATCTGCCTCATTTAAGTCCCTCTGTTCATTTTTGTTCATTTGCCATTCATATTTCAATAGAATTTGCTTTAAAACATAAACCACTTTAGTAAATAAATATGAACCAGCACAGAAACCGTGAATAAAAAATGGAAAAGTCAAATAACATATGTCATCACAAAAATTGAGACCAAGTTCCAGGTTGCTGATCTGACTTTCTACCTCATTTACACACAATTGCAGGGTCTCAATTGTTTCTCTTACTATTGACAACACAACATACATACAGGTACATTGTTTCTCACTCTTGATTTTTTTTTTCATTTTTGCATTTCTTTATGGTTCTTTATTACTATCATTATTATTATTATTATCATTATCATTATTAATATTATTACATTATAGCCCCCCAGGCCCCGATGTGGGTCAGCGACCTGTGCCCGGGTGGGCTAATCCCCGTAAAAAAAAAAAAAAAAAAAATTAGGGGTTCGGGATTGATGGTTAATCCGAAAGTCGGTTAATCAAGGGTCGGTTAAACGAGGTTTTACTGTATATATATGAGAAAATGTCGATAAATTTGGTAGTAGTGATAAGTTTGAAATATTTCCAGCCCGATTTCCCTCGCGAAATAAAACATAATTTGGTAGCCACGACATAAAAAAATCGTTATATAAAGTCACTATATATCCCGACCCTACTGTAATATTTATTAGAACGTGCAAAATCTGTTCCTCTGTAAATGATGATGGACAAGTTCATACCGTCTACCATTTAATATCAAGGTATAAAACCAGATAAATCTTACCTTAACTTGTCCTCCTTGTGAACCACTTGCCAACATCTCTGAGTCCCTGCTGAAGGCCAGACTTAACACTGCTGCCTCCATCATCATATACGAATCTTTCTCCTGGTATTTCAAATCTTTACGGATCTTACCTGTTATAAGGGGAGGAAAGAAAGGAGTCAACTTGTTAAGCCTTGTTTTGTGGCAGGGATTTATGATTATATTTCCACTAAGACTGAAAATTGGAGTAAGTTTACCCCTGTAACCCCACACAAGCCAGCATCACCTGTCAGCAGCCAGTCCTCAATTCAAAATTACTCAAAGTCATTCATGCACAGTGCTGCTCCCTGGCAAGCCATCCCTTCCACCTCTAATGCATCAACTTAAAATTACAAACAGATAATTGGACTTTCAAGCCTGGTAGCGATGTAAAACTGTTCAATGGGAGGACGAACAATTATAGTAGACCCTTGCCATTTGCGATTCGCGATTTCGACGATTCGCAGTAAACAGGTGGTGGCTAGCTTGCCAGCCTTTTCCTGCAGCACAACGAGTCACCCCACCCAGTATTTAGTGTTGTACTCTCAAAACTTTAGTGTTTCTATGTGAAATGGCCCCTAAAAGACTGCCTAGTGTCAGTGGAGTGAAATGTAAAAGGCAGAAGTCAGTGATGACCCTGACAAATAGTTTTATTATTAAATAAGTTAAAAGAGGGGATGAGTACTGCCGCAGCTGGTCAGTTGTTTGGTATAGGTATAGAGTAGTGCACTAAGGTAGTTTAAGTTGCTATTTGCAGTTTTGCCTAGTCGCGCCATTTCTTAGAACCTATCCCTCACGAATGATAAGGGTCTACTGTATACAATTTCCATATATACTGTATATATCCAGGTACAATTAATTTTTAATTATACCTGCTGTTAAGCAATAGTCATACCAGTTGTAAAGTTCCACACTTCTATGATGCCATCAAAACTTCCAGTGACAAGGTACTGTCCATCAGGGCTGAAATGTGCACTTTCAACATGGGCTTTCTGAGGGAAGCGTATGAAGCGTGCTTGCTGGGTAGGAACCTTCTCATCTTCCTGTTCTCTCATGGCTGCCTTACCTCGGAACAAATCAATCTGGGTGCCTGAAAATGCAAGTGCATGTGAATCAGTATCATGTGCTTCATGACTAGAATGTGTGAACGCATCTACCTAATGTAAAAGAATACCCTTATTCCCTTGCTTAAAATAAATGGAGCATGAATACCATCAAAACCTCTACAAACTCTTGCAGAGCCTAAGGTCTCTGTCAAGCTTCAAGAAAAATTGTCTTCTCCTTTGAGAATTATTGTATTCATACACAAAACAAGCCATAACCACAGACATGTATACAATTCCTTAATATCCCATAAACTCATTTGGGTATTAAATTAAAAACATAAATCTTATTCTGTATACAGTAGTAGAGAATGACCCAGATCTATCACACAAAAGACCTGAGAACAAAGGGCCAAAACTTCCTTCTCTCCCACACACACATCAAGACAATTATTACAGATTCTTTACAAACCAGGGGGCAATAGTCCTTGGTGTTGCTGCCACTTCAAAGCTTGTCCCAAAAGAGCCAACAAACGTGACGGTGGTACCACTGACACCTCGCCTGCTAGCGCAGCTGCAATAGCTGCCCTGCGACGCTCTTTTGTTACACCTTCTGGGTAGGCCTCACGAGGATCAAAGTAGGAACGTGCAATCAAGTTTTCAAGATGAACATACCTGAGAAGTTTAAGTATTAATGAAGAAGGAGACTAAATTATTGAGATCACTTTTATAACTACAAAAAAGCTGCTCTTGCAAAACCTGATCAGTGAACTTAGCTATCTGCACATACTCAACTCATACTCTCATCCAACACCTTCTAAGCTTAATCTTTTACCAAGTCCTTGCTAAACTTTGATGTTCTAGATCTACATCCAAAAACTCAAGAAATTTAAAAAGTAAAGTACAGCCTAATAGAAATGGAGTGAGTAAATTAAATATCTTTTTTCTGGCAGGTGAAAGATAAGGAGGCAGTGAAAGACCTGTTATGAGATCATTATCGAAAATTTAAAACAACTTTTGCCACATGATAAAAATGCATAAACTACAATACTCTATGTCAAAACTAAATATATCAACCACATACTGTATACACAAACATTTAAAACACTAAACAAGAAATTTAAAAACTGCTTAACCTTTCAGGTACAGTCTGTTTCAGCATAATGAGGGGATCAGTATTACGGAGAACAGACTTTGCAGCTCCCAGCTCTCGCAGTTCAATTAGTTCCAGAACAACCTGTTGATAAACCAAAGTCAGCAGACTCCTTATAACCCACAGGATTCAGTTACTGTTTTCACCCACTATCTACCCTTTCACTATCACTGTCTTCAGAATAAATTATTAGAACAGTTTTATTGCCTGTAAAAATTGCAATTTTAAGAACAATTTAAAAAGCACTGTGTGTGTATATATATATATATATATATATATATATATATATATATATATATATATATATATATATATATATAATATATATATATATATATATATATATATATATATATATATATATATATATATATATATATATATATATATATATATATATATATATATATATATATATATATATATATATATATATATATATATATATATATATATATATATATATATATATACAGTGAACCCTCCCTTTACACGGTCAATTGAACCCATAGAGGCCCGCTTAAAGTGAACAACATAACATATGGGATTAAATGAAATAGAGACCGGCTGACCCCCAAACTCCACTTTTTCCGACACAATACCTATGTTCTAGTAAAAATAACATCTTAATTTTATGATGGTACATGCACACAATTAATACTTAAGAGAAATAGAGAAATACAGTTGCCAGGTTAATGTCCATTCAAATAATGGACTGACTCCCTCCCCCTCTTCTCACACTCGCTGGCTCTTCCCTCTCTGAGAAATGTTTGGGGGAAAACCACTAGATTTTAAGATATAGTAATAAATAATGCCTCAAACTAAAGTTAGGATAATATAATTGACATTGCTGGATTCCTTGTAAGACCAGGAATATTTTGAATATAAATGTCATATATTTTGCACAAAAGATAACATATTTACTCAGAGTAAACAAAATACTTACATTAGATCTAAAATTTGTATGTCTAATGCAAAATCTATGATGTTTATATTCAAAATGATCATGAAATTGTAAGAATTCCAGCAATGTAAAATATATTCTGGCCGGGTAATTTGTATGAATTTTATGAGCTAAAACAAATATCTTCAGTTAATAAAAAAAAAATATATTCTTCACGACACTATCTGTCAATCAAAGTACCCCACCTTGCCTCCCCCCCTCTTCCAACCTTGCCAGATGGTCAGTCGGTCGGTCCCTCCCTCCCCCCACCCCCCACCAACCCTCCCTACCAGAGAAATGTGTGGGAGAAACCAGAATATTTACCTTTTCAGTAATAAATAATACCTCAGACTAAAGTTAGGATAATATAATTGACATTGCTGGATTCCTTGCAAGACCAGGAATATTTTGAATATAAATGTCATATATTTTGCACAAAAGATAACATATTTACTCAGAGTAAACAAAATACTTACATTAGATCTAAAATTTGTATGTCTAATGCAAAATCTATGATGCTTCTATTCAAAATGATCATCAAATTGTAAGAATTCCAGCAATGTAAATTATATTCTGGCCGGATAATTTGTATGAATTTTATGAGCTAAATAAAAAAATTATACTTCACCCGCGTATGAGTAGATGCACCGCGTAAAGTGGGAATTCCTGTTCTGGCAGGGTACCGCGTAAATGTAGAAACACGTAAAGTGATAACGCGTAAAGCAAGGGTTCACTGTATATATGTGTATGTGTGTATATATATATATATATATATATATATATATATATATATATATATATATATATATATATATATATATATATATATATATATATATATATATATATATATATATATATATATATATATATATATATATATATATATATATATATATATATATATATATATATATATATATATATATATATATATATATATATATATATATATATATATATATATATATATATAAACACACACAGTAGAGCGTCGATTTAAAGCGATTCAATTTAAAATTCTTGATTTAAAGCGACACCCAAAATTAAGGAAAAATTTTTAATTTAAAGCGAATCATTTCTATTTTGCGCGAGTCAATCTGGCGCATCATATTTGAAATTTTGCGCCTAATGTTTCTCTGGGCACACTACACTGTCCTAAGGGCAAAGCTGTAACGTGCATGTACTCAAAATAATGCACTAAATGATTACTAAAATTTTTGTCTGGTGCAAACTATAGCATGTTTATATTCAAATTAATCACTATCTTATAAGAATTCCAGCAATGTTAATTATGTTCTCCCCGGTCACTTCTGTGACATTTTATAAGCAAAAAACATAAACTCAAGCTAAAGGACATAAATAAACAAATAAATACTTCAATAGACCTTTGGCACCAACTGTCAAGCATGTCACTGTCACTTCCCTCCCCTCCCTCCCCCCATCTTCCCAGCCAGGGTTTGGTGTTTTAGGCTAAAAGTTTTTATCTTATATAATGTCAGACTAAAGTTAGAATATAATATGTATTGCTGGAATCCTTGCAAGACAGCAAATAATTTGAAAATAAACGTCATATATTTTGTACAAGAGATAAAAATTTTTGCTCTTTGTATGTCTAATGCAACCTACAGCATGTTTATATTCAAATTAATCACTATCTTATAAGAATTCCAGCAATGTTAATTATATTCTCCCATGTCAAGTCAGTGACATTTTATAAAAGAAAAGCTTAGTCACTCTTAAGGACAGATAAATAAATAAGCACTAGACCTTGGCATCAACTGTCAAACATATCACCTCACCTCCCTACCTTCCCCCCATCTTCCCAGCCAGTAAACAGACCATTTTGCATCCCTTAGTTTTAGCTGTGTTGATTTATGAGTGTTTGTTTAAACATAATACTACAAAAAACAATGTTTAGTTTATTCTAGGAGAAGGGCTGAGGTGCTTCTGGGTAGACTCTCAGTCTTTTTAATATTTTGTGTTTCTCTAAAATTATTCCATTGAAACAACACTTCGATTTAGACTGAATTCAGTTTCAATTCAGTTTAAAGCAACCTCTCTTGGAACATATCTAGCTATCCTGCATTATATCGACAACACGCTCTACTGTACTTGTACTATATAAAGTTGTGTTTACTTTTTATCACTACCTGTACAGTATATTACAGTAAACCCTTGTTATTCGCGGGGGATAGGTTCCAAGGAATGGCGTGACTAGGCAAAACTGCAAATAGCAACTTAAACTACCTTAGTGCACTACTCTATACCTATACCAAACAACTGACCAGCTGCAGCAGCACTCATTCCCTTTTAACTCATCTAATAATTCAAATTTCTTAGTCAAGGTCATCACTGACTTCTGCCTTTTACATTTCACTCCACTAGCATCACTAGCACTGACACTAGGCAGTCTTTTAGGGGCCATTTCACGTAGAAACACTAAAGTTTTGAGAATACAACAAGAGATGCTGCATGGGGTGACGCGTTGTGCTGCGGGAAAAGGGCTCACAAGCTAGCCACCATAGCCACCACCTGCTTACCATGAATCGTCGAAATCGCAAATCGCAAACCAGCGAATGGAAAGGGTCTACTGTATGTTGATACTTCTATTCATTCATATTTACCAAGAATAGTAATGCTCATAACTTAAGTAACAAATTTCCCTCCTCAAATTTTCATACCAATAAAGTGACCCAACAAAGAAGGAAGGAAGAAGTGCGTCCAAGTCAATTCTATCATCCCCTAGTCATTAAAATGGAATTTCACACTTTTAATCAGGAAAACTTATTCACTTTGCATGAAATAGCAGAGATGTGGTAATCATACAAGCCACATAAAAGTATAAAACACACATTTATGGGTTTAAAATTTGGTTGCCATGGCAATGTTTACAGTCAAAAGCAACTTGTTTTAACATGAAAGGGTTGGATAGTCATCAGGTAGTACTACAGTACAGTATCAAATTTAAAGGTTCACTCAGTGGGCTCAATGATACCAGTGGCTAGAATCCATTTGAACAATTTCTTTTATTTTGTTTGCCAAGATGAAAGAAACACATATTTTCTAAAGTGAGAGGAAGATACAGTATCATTAGTTAATATTACAGGTGATGGGCTGGTCCTTTACCAGAGTGAGAAATGAGCGACCTTTACCCCCCCCACAGCCCATTCCTAACTTTTCTACCCCTTTATTAAATAATCTTCTGTTGAGGAAAGGTTTAGGAAATGCTTTCTCATTAATTTCATCTCTTGCCTTGAACAACCATGACAGATGCAAAATCTCAGAGGATAGGAAAAAATGTGGTTGCCAACCCTCAGATATGTGGCTGGCACTTCTGACGTTCCAGAATAAGTACTGCATGCAATACACACAGGATGACCTTAATACAGGTACAAAAAAAATAAATTACATTGTGACATACTTTAACTATTTTTTGTTTACATTTATGATAACATTAAAACATTTATAGTACTTAAACCACACACACCTGCTCATATAAATCAATAAGTTTCTTGTCAGGAAGTTTAAGAGTCTGGATAGCCTTGAGCACAGTATCCCAATGCCCTTGGTTTATATCTGCCATGAAGCTTTCAACAGAATCTACAGTATTCAGAGTGATTGAAGTCTCTTCCTGCAGTGCACGCAAAGTTCTCCCAAGGTTGTTTTCCTTGAGATACTGCTGGATCAGACGGATAACACTGTAAAAATATACATAAAATAAATGAATGTCAAATACACTGTACAGTCCACACAATCAATTATGTATCTTTACAGTTTTGTGTTAGACAGCATGACACAATGGAAGAAGGATTTTGACAACCCTACTGAGACAACAGCAGTTGCAGTGTTTATTTAAAAATTCATCAGACCCATTGGTGCTACTATAGCATGTGGCCTTCAAAGATAGCTTTACTTTAACCTAACCTTAGCTGACCTAACCTAACCTAACCTTGCCTAACCTGACCTAACGTAACTTAATTTAACCTAACCTAACTAACCTAACCTAAACATCTTGTAGATCGCATGCTAAAGAAGCACCGACCCATCAATAGATACTTTTTTGATTGTGTCTACAAGCATATGAAAGGGGACAGTGAAATTCATATCTTAGGTACATTCCACATAAGTAAAGTAAGGATAGGTTAGGTTAGGTCAGGGTTTTTTTTTTCCACCCACAATTTATTTCTACTATAAAGCCCTGCCCAGTTTGGGCAATAAAAATTGTACTTTAAGTGAAATCGAAGTCAAAATAACTCAAAAAATTTAATTTTGCAATGAATATACTGTACTACTATAAAGTATTTTTTTTATCCCCCTATATAATTCGTTCAAATATTTCATTTTTATTTTAGTTAAAAGTGTTTTCCTTTTTCTGTATCTGTGATCATAAATAACCTGTAGTACAGTGCAGGGCGAGGTAAACACATGGCAAAACTGATCAAGTCTCTACGTGCTTTGTATGCGAAAAAATTTAATACTTAATGAAATATTCTGCCAAAAATTTTGGTCTGTCAGTGTTTGGCCGTCTGATTGTAAACAAAGAAATTTTTATTTCGTTCTCGCTTGAATTGCCAATAAACGACGGAGCATCAGATTGGGGGTTTTACCACCTTAAATATAGACTTTATCATCTTTTTTTTTACTTTTAGGCTTCACTATCCAGAGTTGTGAGTCTATGACCTGCAAAAATCCCATATATTTATTTATTTCTGCACAATAAGTTCCATTTATAAATGATGAGTATAATATTGTTGGAATCAAAACTCATATTATGGGTTTTGACTCATTTCCAATACCTTACAAGTAGCATTGGTTAATAAGTGAACTGCATATTCCTATACAGTATACTTATTGTTCTACCACAAGGGGAGACAAGCAAGCCATCTTGATTCCCCTTCGTATCTTGTGCAAGTTGTTCTTTGTTGTATCGCAAGTTATCTACACTTGTATAGGGTGAAAACCATCTCCAAGAGATCATCTGTCAACATGGACTAGTTGGCAGGACGTGCAAGTATTCAAAATAAGGCAGAGAGTTGACAGTGAAGAAGAATTATGTGTTTCAGTGCAACAACTGATCTTACTTTCACGTCCACAAAAAACATAAAATTACACCATGCCTCTTCAAGATGGGGGCTTTCATTTGTACCTGACATCAAAGTAGTAAGTACTTTCTGCTTAATAAGCTGGGGAATCCACTAGGAAGTTAAGAAAGGTCAGATAGGTTTCTTTGGTTAGGTTCTGTGTATTCCATTTCCATGTCCCGTATCATAGAAATAGAATCACAAGATATTCTGGTTCAATTCCATAAGTTATTTCTGGTATTAACTGTCTCCTCCACGGTTGGTCTCTTCCGAAACTTTACCTATACTTTTTGGTAAAATTATTGTTTCGGTCATGCACCTATTTGGAAGTCATTCAAAACACATAAAACAACATCGGAAAAATATAATTTTATCGAGCCTAACCTAAATTTAAAATCCTAAAATTCGCTGCAAGACCAAAATGATAATAATACAGTACAGTACCTACTTTTCTTCAGCAGATGTAAATAATTTATTGTAAATAAGAAAAACCAACCAGAACTACCTAACCTGACCTAACTTTCTTGGGTTCAAAGGTTTCATTTTGTTATCTATATTAAGTTATCTTAGGTTGGTTGGTTGGTTTATGTCAGGTTTTTTTTTTTTTTTATATCGTCAAAAGGAAGAGGAAGGTAAACATGGTGGGCCAAGCATCCCATTGTTTACATACCATATTCACTCAAAATAAAAACCAGGGAAAACCACAAGTATAAAAGTTGTAATTGCCTCTTCATCTCTTTCTATTCATAGTGAGAATTTTTTTAATAGAAAATTTCCCTTAACCCTTTCGCTGTGTTTCCTGCACTTGCCATTTTATTCTGGCTACTGCCAGACGATTTTATTCAGCTTAGGGTAACCTCTCCCAGACAAAGGGTTAAGTGGCTCCTTCCAGTGAGTCTGACGGCTAAAGTATTAGGCAGTGGATATTTTGCCATGACTGGCTAAGTTCCTAATAACACTATTTTACCATGAGTGCGCTCTGATTGGCTTATCGTCCATTACCGGCAAACAAGGCAAGAACTATATTTGACCATGACACTGCCGGCAATTGTCATATATTTCGCCGTGGGTCGATCTTTGAGTAGCGATAAACATACCCAACCATATTTCTGTTGTGCAGGGAAACTACTAACAAAAATAGAGGTAAAGATTTGTTTTAGGTCAAGCATGGAATTTCATATTTCTATTTATATAGGGAGAAATAAACAAATCGCTATTCTATTACGTTTCCAACGCAAATTTATATTTTACAAGTAAATATTTACTAATATTGCAGTAAACAACAACCACAGAATACCAGAAATTCATTGCACTCAATTGATAGAACTATTTTTTTCTATGAACATTTTCATTTATTACATTAGGTTAGGTAAAGTAACAAAAATTTTTTATTAGATGTCTTTGGTTGCTGTAATCTGCAATTTTACGAAATATTTAAACCGATAAGACCTCCCCAATTATCAACAATATTGGTTGTTTAAAATGGGCAGAAAAGGGAAAATGTGGGTAAAATACTAAAAGAAAACCACCAGGCAAGCCTTTGAAAACCTAACCTAACGTTTCCTTACTTGTTAAGGTTAAAAATACAGTAATGTCCGAGAACACCACTACAACCAGGAGTTTTTTCGAATTTGTTAAATTTTTCTAAAGATGTTCTTATCATTATAAAAAAAGTGACATTTACTAAGTAGAACCTAATAGAACCTGACTCAACCAACCAAAGAAAGCTACCTTACCTAACCTAACCTGACATCTTTTCTTTTTGAAACTAGAACAAGATCACACAAATATTTCATAAATTTTTTTAAAGCATCTAGATTAAGTGTATTTATGAAACGTGACAATATTCTCTTTATTAAAACATGAATAAGGTCACACATATTTCCTAAGAATAGTACTCACTCCGCCGATTCAATTTCTATCGACATATTGCTGTGTTTGAAGCAGAACGCCTGTTAAAAGTTAAATATTTCTTGACTACTCTGAAGCAGCCAGCCAGGAGCCACCAGCACGATGTTTGTTTACTGCCAAAGCCATAGAGTCAAACAGTAACTCAGACGCGACACTCTACAGCCTTTAACATAACACTACAGTGCCATCTACCGTCTGAAATACTGGCAAGGTTTGGTGATACGCTTTTTATTAGTATATAATTTTCATTTATAATTCTCATCACTTGTTAGCTTACTTGAGTAACAACTAAGTACGGGTTTCCTCGATATATTAACTTTATTTCATTCTATTAGTTGCATTTGGGTTGAAAAATCATGTCATTATTTTATGTTCGTTAAATAAATTCATAGTTAAAACTGAGTTTTGAAGTCATTTAAACCACTAAACTCTAAATATAATGGGAATACATTGAAATAAAAAACAGCTTAAACTTATTTATTCACTTTTTTCTTCATAAATTTCTCATTAGGTACTTACAGACATAATGTTTGAGGATCTGACTTCAAAAAATATAAATTCAAGTTCAGTAAATGATGTACTGCGCACATCATTGTCATGCCTAAAAAAACCTTTAATTCATATTACGCTACATAACATCCAAGTCCACCGCGCCTGTACAACCTCAGAAAACGGGAAACATTGATAAAGGATAACTCACCTACTCAGTGTTACTGAATCATTTGTTGAATTGTACCCGGGTACGGTTATATAATATTAATTGTATGTATTCATAGCATTAAGGAGAACTCAAGGTATCTGTAGGATGGTTGTGAGAGTCCAATTGATCCGGGCTAGTGTACTATCCAGGCAGTGGCGTAGCTAGAGTGTGTGCCTCCCGGGGCGGCGCCCTTGAGTTGGCGCCGTTCCCCCCGCGTGCCCCACAAAAATACAAATTGTACAGTGACTCAGTCTTATATATATATATATATATATATATATATATATATATATATATATATATATATATATATATATATTAAATAGTTTGTGTACCATTATAATATTACTGTACTTTCACATACTCAAATATAGTATGCTTTAAATATACACCAAACATACTTAAACTTAATATTTAATCTTAATATTTAATCTCAGTACCGCAGCAAAAGTCACATCAATAGTTTTTAACCAATACTTTAATATTTCTTACCTTATAGTATTATGTCTTCCAACGAAGTAAATAACTGAATCGAAAACACAAGAGAACAGGCAAATGTAGTACCCATATTCAAAAAGGGAGACAGAGCATCAGCGTCAAATTACCAGCCGATCAGTTTGACGTCAGTAGTGGGGAAATTTCTTGAATCAATTATAGCAGATAGCATCCGATCGCATCTAGAGAAAAGCAAATTAATCTACGACTCTCAACATGGGTTTACAAAGGGAAAATCTTGTCTAACAAATCTGCTAACGTTTTTTAGGAAAGTCTTCGAGGTAGTAGATAATGACGAAAATTACAATGTTATTTACTTAGACTTTAGCAAAGCATTTGACAGAGTACCGCATCAGAGGCTTCTGAGAAAAATTAAGGCTCATGGTATCGAGGGGAAAGTTTTAAATTGGATAAAATCATGGCTCACCGATAGAACGCAGAGGGTCAGCGTAGATGATGTTAAATCTGAGTGGGGCCGTGTAACCAGTGGGGTTCCCCAGGGGTCAGTACTAGGCCCACTCTTGTTCATAATCTACATAAACGATTTAGATACTGGGATCAGCAGTGACATAAGCAAGTTTGCGGATGACACCAAAATAGGGCGGCAAATTAATTCAGGGCAGGATGCAAATGCATTACAGGAGGATCTAAATAAACTGCAGGGGTGGTCTGAAAAATGGCAAATGAAATTCAACACCAGCAAGTGCAGCGTACTTAATATTGGAAGAACAAATACTTATAATGAATACAGCCTTAACAACATCAACCTAGAGAAGTCGACTTGTGAAAGAGACCTAGGGGTACTTGTAAGCCCGGACCTACGGCCTAGAAAACAGTGCGTTAATGTTCGAAATAAGGCAAACAGAGTATTGGGTTTTATATCTAGGAGTGTAAGTAATAAGAGTGCAGAGGTCTTATTGCAACTATATCTTGCGCTAGTTAGGCAGCACCTCGATTATGCGGTGCAGTTCTGGTGCCCCTATTATACAATGGATATAAATTCACTAGAGTCGGTGCAGCGAAGGATGACAAAAATTATTCCGGGACTTAGAAACCTTCCATATCAGGATAGGTTAAAGAAACTTAACTTGCATTCCCTAGAAAGACGAAGAGTGCGGGGAGATATGATAGAAGTATTTAAGTGGGTGAAAGGAATCAATAAAGGGGATATAGATAAAGTTCTTATAATATCCGAGCAGGATAGGACTCGGAGCAACGGATTCAAGTTGTATAAGTTTAGGTTTAGGAGGGAGATAGGAAGAAACTGGTTCACAAATAGGGTGGTGGACGAGTGGAACAAGCTTAGCAACTTTGTGGTGGGTGCGGGAACTCTGGAAAGTTTCAAAAGGAGGCTAGATAGATTCATGGATGATAGAGAGTGGTAGTAACTCTCGACAGGAGCTGCCATGCACAGGCCAACCGGCCTATTGTAGACTCCTTATTTTCTTATGTTCTTATGTTCTTAAGTCGTCTAGCCTCCCCTCGTCTTGTCACGATGGAGACTTGTGCAGAACTGAAGTGAATTGCTTGTAACTAGTGGATTGGTCGGCTGTACATGAACTGATATGACCCGAGACTGCATGGTTTTGCAGCTACTGGAGACGTTAATCCTTCCCTTTGTATCGGCGGCAAGTTAATCCTCGTCGTGTCTGACCTAACACCTGACCCACACCACATGAGCTCACTAGCGTACTTGTTTGAAGTTGTTTCCTTAAACCTCAACAGGTTACAGGTTGTGTGTGTGGCGGAGGGGGGGGGGCGCATAGCAAGGGTGTAGCTCATGACGTGGCCGTGATGATGTGGGTCAGGTGTTAGGTCAGACACGACAAGGATTAACTTGCCGCCGATACAAAGGGATGGATTAACGTCTCCAGTAGCTGCAGATATGGGTGATGAGCAGACTCAAAAGTGCCGCCCCCCAAAAGTGCCGCCCGGGGCGGACCGCCCCAGGCTAAGTGTAGATTGTAGTTTGAAGGTCATACTATGTACATCTGTGAACGTTTTTAGCGAACATAACTTCCGCAGATATCATATAAAAATACATGAGAACAATGATCTGGAAAAAGGATAAATGTATCAGACCTATGTGAAGTGTTGGAAGTGATCCAGAAACTATGCTTCAAAGAAAATATTTTGTATACCTGTGGGGTTATGTGATGTTTGGGTTCACACTCAGGATGGGATGGAGAAAGGAAACTCACAATGTGCTCTCTGTATACATGTTATATTGGATGTACAATGCAGCTTGGTGGCTGGTGCTGGGAGGAGGCAGCGTGGGTCCAAGCGTGAGGTAGAGAGAGCTGGTTGGTGAGGGTGCTCAGAGGAGGACAAGCTTGTGGGTTGCCATGCTCGCCGGTGGGAGCGAGGACCGCCAGGCAGAAGCGGAGGAGATGGTGTTGCTTGCTGGTTGGTGTAGGTAGAAAGAGAGTGGTCGGTCGGTCGGTGATACGGAGAGAAGAGAGCATTTGCAGTCAGTGGCGTAGCTAGAGTGTGTGCCGCCCGGGGCGGCCCTAGAGTTTGACACCCCCCCGTGCCCCCACAAAAAATACATATTGCACAGTGACTCACTCTTATATATATATATATATATATATATATATATATATATATATATATATATATATATATATATATATATATATATATATATATATTAAATAGTTTGTGTACCATTATAATATTACTGTACTTTCACATACTCAAATATAGTATGCTTTAAATACACACCAAACATACTTAAACTTTATAAGTAACAGTTAAACAAAAAGCAAAAACGACATATAGGATAGGGAAAAAAGTAAAAAAGTGTAAAAAATTAGGACCATCTTTATTTCTGAAATGAAAACTACAACTTTCTACAAAGTAACTTTTCTTGTTTTTTGTTGGCAAATTCTTCAATGACATTGTCAAAAACTATTTCATCTGTCAATTATCGCTCTATAGACAGTATGGCAAGATTTCTCAACCGCAAGGTGCTCATAGTAGATCGTAAGTAATTCTTGATCAGTTTTAGTTTCGAAAAACTCCTCTCACAGGTAGCAACACTAACAGCAATTGTGAGGAAAATCCTCAGCATTATTACTATATTTGGAACCGAGTTCCCAAGGTTATACTTTTGAATAAACTGCAAAAGTTCAAGGGGGCCTTCTTTCCACGTCTGTATTCTGTCTTTAATAGTTATAGCAGCAACAGCAACAAAATGCTGAAGTCTTTTTCTCTCAACGAGGAACTCCTCTTTATCAATGTCGTCGTGATCGTGATCTATTTGACACTCATATTTATCATGTGTATAGGCGGCAAGTTAATCCTCGTCGTGTCTGACCTAACACCTGACCCACACCACATGAGCTCACTGGCGTACTTGTTTGAAGTTGTTTCCTTAATCCTCAACAGGTTACAGGTTGTGTGTGTGGCGGGGGGCGCATAGCAAGGGTGTAGCTCATGACGTGGCCGTGATGATGTGGGTCAGGTGTTAGGTCAGACACGACAAGGATTAACTTGCCGCCGATACAAAGGGATGGATTAACGTCTCCAGTAGCTGCAGATATGGGTGATGAGCAGACCCAAAAGTGCCGCCCGGGCGGACTGCCCCCCCAGCTACGCTAGTGCATTTGCTCTGAGGGTGCAAGAAGGGTACAGTACAAGGTAAAGTTCAGAAGTGGGAAATAGAGGAGGAGGTTAACAGCAGGTGGGCTATCCACCTTGCGGAGACGGGGTTTTTTGTCTTCCGTCAACAGTGCTGCATTAGAGGACTCATTCGGTTAGGGAAGGCCGGTCTCAGCCAAGCTAAGCTAAGTTGTTCTATTTGATGTTTCCTTGGGGCATATTATGATAGGGGGGGGGTCCCTCCAGGTCCTTGTGGCACTGGAGGGATGATCCCCATCTTTTGGTTCTTTTTTATTGTGTATATAGCAGCTCTGGTTCTTCGTTATCATTTTTT